CTAAATTAAATTTTCCTGCTATAACATAAGTCCATTAGATACCCCAGCACTCCAAAAAAAATTATTCAGAGTTAAAAATACAATTGTTTACAACTAAAAAAAATGTTGTACACCCTAATTAACTTGTGTAACAACAGTTTCCCMATGCCGAGATTCAGTAACGGTACCCCAACATTCTAAATGATCAATTTTAATATTAAAATCAAAATTTATATTACACAGTCTAATTTTTTTACAATTTTATTTTCCAAAAAAAAATTGTGTACACTTATATAATCCGGCATAAAATTGTTTTTCTGTGCCCTGTAACTTTTGCTGTTATATATACAAGCTTTAGTAATAAATAAATACCTAACTATAATACTTATAAACCATAATATTCAAAATTTTACCTACAGTATAGGCGCACTTACCAAATAATATTATACAGTATACAATTAATATATACAAATGTATTATGTAGCTAAATGCAACACATATATTTATATAGGTACAAGGCAGTATAATATTGAACGGTTTTGATAATATAATAATAAGTAATAAGTAATAACCATAGTTTAATCACTGACGAAACTTTAGTGCATCAAATTAATATATTTGTGTACAACCTAGGAATTCTGCAGTTACAATGTAAATTATAATAATTAATAACACATTTACTTGATCCCCGCGCACGAGCCATATGGTGTCCCCGGAATCTCGGATTACATGTGACAGAACGATATGCATGGTGTTACTGATGCGCACAATATAATATACATAATAATATTGTCATAACAATAGTTAACCACCGAGTGAATTTTGAAAAAGAATTTATTTAACAATTATCTATACGGGATTAATAGGAGTTATGATGCGCAGAAATTTGTATTCTCACTCAAGATGACAACGTGTTTTTTTTATCGAACGACTATCTTACAAACAAACATTTTTAAATTATTCAAACCTTATATAATATTATTTTCAGATAATGAAATCTTCACGTCAATTTATTTCGTTTATCACGAAGTCATAAAATATAATATATAAAGCTGTTTTGATCCCAGACAACACTGTATATTATTAATTTTTAGTGTAGACGGCGCTCAGAAATTCAGGATAAATATTTTGGCACTATGGCCCCAATATAACGTCTTCACATTATATGATAATGTATTATTGTGTGTTAAATACTAAAACTACGGCGTGAACTTCCGTAAAAAGGTCATCGTCGTAAGAAAATGAAAACGCTTATAAAACAAAATAACAATAATTGAGGAAAACTTATTTAATATTAAACACTCGTTCTCAGAAGGTCACATTAAAATATAATCTATATTATGCTATAATAATACAACAACGACGAGAGTCAACGACCTGCGACCCTTTAACTCTTTTCCTCAACAAAAAAAATATGTATTTTTAATATCGAAAAGTTACTCGACTGTTATATTATATTGAACGACAAATTATATCCAATACCAAATTTGCAAGTATGCAGGGGTTTATGTATACTACATAAATCTATAATCAAATATATTTTAAAGAATCATATACGTCTTAATTTGGCACTGTCTATAATTAACTACGACAACAATAATTTGAAATATTTGAAATATTATTATATCATGATAAGAATACAAAACGCAGTAAAAAATACAACAGGGTCAATCATTTTAGAAATCGTTACAATTATTATGGTGCAGTTAAAGACAATCTATATACCTATAGGTACACATCAACAAGAGTTTTATACGTTTTTCAATTGAAACGATCCGCTTATTTTTAACGTAAACAAATCCAAGAACCGAGATTTATGTGTAGTAATTTTGAACTAATGATTATTTGCCAATGTGCGCACGTTCAATTGTTATTGAAACCGAATTAATTAAAAAACGACACGACCAGTACTGCTGCAGAATTAAAAACAAACATTTCAGATTAATTTACTTCTTCTCTCGTTGGACTAATATATTATTATATTAGTTGTGCTTATATAATGGGTGCATAATTATAATTATTATTATCTCAATTGGAAATGGACTTCGATTGTGTTATTATAGTAATGATTTGATCGGCAAGAACCAGGACACGTGGACAGAAAACATCGAAGGTATTTTTATACTATATACGAGCCGGAGGGTCCGTTTAAATCGGGAAATTATTTAACGGGAAAAATATATTTGGAATATCATTTTTTAAAACGAATGTATTTCCACGGAATGATATTATAATTTAAGAACGGTATATTATTATGCATCAGGAATTATATTTTATTGAACTGATATTTACTGGAATCGTACAAAGTAACATGATATTGAAACAACACATTTCAAAAGTTATATCGATGTTTGAATAGTATTACCTGATTGCCATTTAATTACAACTCAGGTAGCCTAACCGATATTAAATARGAATATTAATTTTCAAGATTGGTATTCATCGGCGGGAGCGCGTGACAATTATTATTAATATTATACAAAACTGCGGTATTTTCGGAACTGATGATAAATAAAAATCTTGTCTTACGAAAAAATAAGGTCCTGTGTAATATTGTCCCAATTAATACCCGTCCTAGCCGTCCTATAATATTATAAAATAAGATTCTTATTTGATAATTAATGTCTGTCGCGATTTTCGCAGTGCCGAGTAATATTATGCTAATTAATTTGTACGATTCCTGTAAGTATATCATTCCAAGATAATACTATTCCTGTATACTAGAGATACCTACTACCAACCATTCCTAAATATCATAATAATATTCGTTGGAAATAGTGATCCTTCAAGCAAACTTATCATTCTAAATAAATATAATATTATTTTCCTTGTTTAACATAACTATATATTTAACCCAGGACGAATTACGTTAGGGAATTATACTATTACGGAATTACGCAGCAAATGCGAATATACCGCACTAGGTCTGAGTGGTTTGACGCCGCGCGCGATCAATTTAACGTAGAAAATTGAACCTGGTGGATCTCTATTATAATTAATGGTATTTAACACGTTTGTCTATTTCTGCGGACTGAATCGAAGTCCCGATATCGTTCTCGCATAATAGTATTATAAAATATTGTACGCACAAAGTGATCTTCGCCCGATTTTCACCGAGAGAATAATATTCGAATGTAGATTGCGTTTTGTACTTTTGCACGATAAACTCCTGCAGCGAATGATCGAGGAGATATTTTTAGTCGGTGGTCAGGAAWACGCCCGTAGAATACAGTATGGGATAACCTTATCAATGGCGTATATATGGGAGGGTTTAGGT